CATCAAATTTAGTTCTGAGTTTCTTGGGTGACAAGCCAAAATGAGAAACATAGTGATTTTTAGCCTCTTTTCTTCTAAGAAAAGAAACAACACTAGTTAATCAGAAGAGACACACTTTTTTGCGGGCCTCTCACTGTTGTAGCCTCTCCCGTTGCGGAGCACAGGCTGCGGACGCGCAGGCTCAGCGGCCATGGCTCACGGGCCTAGCTGCCCCGCGGCATGTGGGATCTTCCCGGACCGGGGCACGAACCCGTGTCCCCTGCATCGGCAGGAGGACTCTCAACCACTGCGCCACCAGGGAAGCCCGAGACACACTTTTAAAAAGGTTAAAGGCAAAGATGAATTTATAGAGATCTTTATATAAGGAATATTGAAATACATAACAAAAAGTGCCAAGATGTTTTCCATGGAGCCCATCTCTTTTCTATTGACTCCCAGTAAAAAATAAAAAGTATTATATTAAAGCATAGTGAATGAAGACAATGTAACAAAAAGGAGTTATAATATGATTAGGATAGTTAAATTTCCAGTCATATAATCTGATAAAAATAGAGAACATGGAAGATTTAGAAAGCTGAGTAGACTATTACTCTTAAATATCAATGGTTGCTTTTCCAGTCTTCTCAGACGTACTATATAAAGAGGAACTTGAAGAAACTGAACTATATATGGTCCCTGGGTAGTGCCCGAAACACATTATGCATTCTTTATTGACAAATTATCCACATGCTAAATGGCAGTTATGCAAGTGACAAAAGTATCACCGCCTTGAAAATGAAATAAGCCCATTTGTATTTTGGCTCAAAGGGAGTGTAACCCTCACCTCCCTTCTACAGGTTAGGCAGCAGCAATAACTGCAGAGAAAAACAATTTTTTTTCAAGAAGCAACTTTGAGCGTAAACGCTCAAATGAGATGAAAACAAAACCAATATAGTAAAAAAGAGTCAGTAAAACGAAAGTAGGTGCCCTTCCAAATTTCCTCCTCTTCTTCCACCTCCACATTCCCCTTTAGTTAAATCTGATTCCCTCAAGCACTAGCACTCAAGATAATTATTAAATAGCCAAAATTAGTATTTCTATTTTGTTTTATTAATTAAGATTATTGCCCATTTCACAGGCAACAGAATCCATTATTAGTCCTCACAGCTAAATCCAGGACCTCCCACTGGGATCTGGCAGATTACAGATTTTACAGTATAATGTAAAAAACAATTGTGGAAGATGTATACCTATTCTAACTGTTTCTACTCTCTTTAAACTCAAGTGTATTTTGTAATTTCAAAAAGGAAAAATGGTTCCACACTAGATTTTCTTTTGTTTTGCTTTTACTTTAGAATAGCAAAAGCACAAAATTTCATCTATTCTAGGAATTAAATAGGCTTGTGTGGGCTGGTCTGGAAAGTGAATTATGTTTGGGAGCACTGTCACTTTTGGAAAGTGAACCGTGAGTCCAAATAGACATTTTTGAAATGAACTTTGGGGAAATAACTACCTGCATAAATTGGAGTCCACCACTGCCTTTTCTCATTCATAACTTTGCTTGCTCATTCACTTAGGAAACATTAACAGATGCCGACTATGTTTCATACACTGTGCTAAGCACTAGATGCAGGTGGTTCCCTCACCACCAATACACTCATTAAGGAACTCACTGTAGTGGGTTGGGTTGCATAAAAATAATTATTCACAGTATGTTTAAAACATCATGGAAGCAGATAAGATGAAATGATTAATTCTTCCTGCACAGAATTAGGTAAGTCTTCCAAAGGAAGTTCCACTTGAAGTGAACTACCAATAATCAAGAGGGGCTTTCCAGGCAGAGGGCATTCCAGGAGAATGAAACCCAGGAGCAAGAAATCAGAAGTATGAAGAGTGAGAAGCCTTTGTGTAGGAAGACAAAACTAAAAATGAAGGGCTTTGAAGAGCTTTTAGTTGCTATACTAAAGCGTTTAAAGTTACTTTTATAGATCTTTGGGATGTATCAAAGGTTTTAGAACAAGGGACTTATACAATTAGATCTGCACTTTATAAAGATTAATTGTGGCAATGCCACAGTAGAATGGAGATGCTGCTTAAAAGCACACATGTACATAGTAACCTCTGAAAACTGAACACTCTTTGAGTCTTCATCACAATAATCCCTCCACTTCCAAATGTGCTTTTACTTAGCTGCTGAAACCATCATAATCTTGTAAAGTTTGAGTTCATATAGCAAAGACAGATGGGTTACCATTGCAAGACTCAATATGAAGTTCCAACTCTGCACATGAAGAGCATTAACTTCATGACTAAGTTGCCTATTTGCGACTTTAATTTTAAATACCTTTCTCCATCTGGGAGAAATATTAATCCTTTAACCACAAGTTTAAGTGTAAACAGGCATCTTTTTATTTTAAATCTCTTCTGCTTTTTTCCTCAGTAAAGTGTGATCAAGATAGAATGGATACCTCAGGTTCTTATTATCATCAAGCTTCTCCACACTCATGTATGACCAATTGGGTGGCTGTCCTTCCTTACTGGGCTCCAAGCTGGGGCTCTATCCACCTCCCCCATCTTATCTTTCCAAGGCATTCGGCTTTACCAAACGTTGAAACAAGGCAGAAAGAAGGAATCAGCATTACATAAGCTCAACTCATGGGAAAAGAACTCTTCAACACTGGCCAGAAAAAACACAGGAGAATAAGCACAGGTAACAAAGACGGTCCTACAGCACTGCAAACGCTAAGAACAGTAACCAAATGCATGGCCTGGACTTTGCAGTGGCACCACCTACTTTCAGCCTTGAGAAACCAACCTGGACACTGACAGAGCCAGAGAGAAAACACACGTCAATGGGCCAGTAGGTCACAGCAAAACTATTCAGGGCACTGTTGGTAAACAACAACTAGGCTTTGACCAAGACAGCAAAATAAACAGACTCAAACTACTCAGTACCACCTGCTGCACATTCCTTGCCCTTCCTGCCCCACCACACCCCTGCTTCCCTAAACCCACACCCTCACCCTAGAGAGCCCAAGATCACACAGTAAATAAAACCATAAGGATGAAAGTTTTCAGAGCTTTGGCCATTGCTATCCTGAGCAAAACCTGAAAGGATTTCACTGAAAATTTCAGTCCAGAACACTTCCTTCCCACTTTTACACTTAAATCTATACTCTTGTCTGGAAGGGTACATTGCTATTTGTTCTGCAGTGATTATTTTTCTTGAGAACGCAATTCTTCCCCACTTACTCAAGTCTTTATTTTCAAAATTGTTCAGATTCACTGTATATACAGCCCAGAAGAACATAACTGATAAACCATCCTCCTCTCAAAACCAAGCCCCTGAGATTAAGTAATAAAACCAAATAACACAGTTGAAAGCCAAGGACAGACTGAGTTTCAACAGCCTTTCACATGTAGAAAGGATTACAGATTCTCCTTCCTTTTATCACTCTAGTTGTGTATTCCTTACATACACCACAAACTAAATTCCAGATCTGAAAAAGTTCACAAGTTTTCCCTTATTCCCACTTAAAGGTCTTCCACCAAGAACATACCTCCTCTGAATGGAAGGAGGATTTTATTTATTTTAAGGTTTTGTCAATATCTCAGTCCTCCAAGATGTCTAAGGTGAATTCTCTGACAACTCAGTAATGGCTCTAAAGAGAACAGATTTCTCGACTTGCTGTCTGAAGGTCAGGCACTCAGGGAAGACAAAAAGGGGAATTGTATCATTGGGCTCTCTTAGAGGTTGAACTATCCCCAGAGAAGAGGAAGTATTAAGAAATTTAAAAGGGAGAGTGAGATCTTAACAAGTCTAACGAGGGCTTTATATTTGTTTTCTGGCTCATTCTAATATACTAATTCTGTGTGTTTTATGTTTTATGATGCCTAGCTTAATACCAACATCCATTCTTGCCCTTAAGGGTTGGTTTTGAGTTCTAATTAGAATCAGGGGACAGCTTGTTTGTATTTAATCTGTCTGTCCATCTTCTCAGTAATTGAGTAAAGCTCTTACCTCTACTGTTAAGTATTGCTGGGTTTCAATTGATTTGTCCTACTTAGCAGACACAGCAACACATATTGTTTTGCTTATGGATAAGCAGACACTTTACAACTTTTATATTTCAAATACCCAGCATGATTTATTTTTTTCCTCATTTTAGAAAGAGGTGAAATAATAATGTCTTGCTACGTTTAAAAAATAAAAGAGTAATTTAATATAAACTATGAGGGATGCAGAAATAGCTTGGAAATGATATTTTAAATGAATTAATATATGCATAGACTACAAGGGAGTCTGGGCTCCCTATTACTAGCTGGTATTGAAAACCTAACATCTCTAAGGAATCCAGAGTAATATTCTCCCCCTTTCTACTTGGGGACTTGTACAATAAACATTTCTAAAATGAGAAGTATTTTTTAAATTAGAACATATTACATATTTATCTTCAAAAGAGGTTGGATACCTCCTCGAAAAGTTACTCTTTAAAAAATCTAAACAAAATCTTTTGGGTGGCTTAAAATTCACCAAAGATTCCCTAACGCTTTGTTTACAATGAAAGTGCTGTTATTAAAACATACCTCTGTATGCCTGTTATCTAGGAAACTCTTATAATACTGATATAAGACACCAGCAGAAAAAAGCAGCGGGGAAAGGGAGGATAGATACTAAGGGAAGTGTACTGCACAGAGTTTTCAATCCCCTCTATTTTTAAGCCTAGAAGCGCGAACCACCAGCTTGCGTTGTTTTTATCCATTTAAAAATAATAAAGGAGCATTGTTTCCCATCATCTACACACGCGCGTATGCACACACACACACACACACACACACACAAACACACACACACTGCACCAGCACGGGATTCCTGCGATCCCCCCTCGCCCCCTGCAGCCCCCGCCCCTGTCGCAGGCAGCTGTGCCCGCAGCCCCCACGCGCAGGCGAGGCCGCGTCCCAGCCTCCCGCGGTGGCGCCGGAGCACACCCCCCACACACACACCCCGCGGCGTCACCTACCCTCCTCGGAGCGCACGACAGACGGGGGACGGCGACTGCTCCGAAGAAAAAGGCCCCCAAGACAAGCCGGGGGAAAAAAGGAAAAGAAAAAAGGGGGAGAGCAGCCTCCTTACTTCCCACAATAAGGGGAAGTGTTGTGCCCCATGCACTTGGTAGCTCCGCAGCTGTAGTTTTGGAAGAAATACGCGGCGGCAGAAGGAGCTGCGGCTGGGGTGGAAATTGTGGGTGTTTTCCCCCCAGCCGCCTGTGCCTCGATACTCCCCGGTCCCCGCTGCAGCCTTGACAGCTCCCCTGGCCTTCGAGACCCTCCGAAGCCCCGCCGGTTTCCACCCGGAGCTGGACTGAGTTGCCACATGCACTTGAGAAATCCTAGCAGTTGCGCAAAGAGTCCCAGAAGTTAGAAAGAGTGACTGTGTGTGAATGTGTAAATGTACAGTACAAGAGGCTGGAACAACTGAGCCGGGCCAACCCTCAGACGCAGCCCTGGGTTTCAGATTTCATTTGGCAACTGGCAGCTTCAGAAGATTCGAGCCGCACTACTGGGGAGGCCGGGAGGAGCCCTGTCCTCGCCCAGCGCCTCACTGCTCGTTTATCTCAGAGCCTGAGTGACTGCCGGGCGCCTGGCTCCCCAACGGCCAGGCAGAGCCCTGCCTCGGTCTCCCCGCAGCTGGCATCACTCGTTTTATTTCGTTTTATTTCATGTACATCATAGACACACATTGATCACAGATCTGGGGCTGTGGGTGTGGAAAAGAATGGAGAAACCATGTCTCCTACCCCCTAGAAACTCTGCATTTCTTTGACCACCCCCCCCCACACACACACACAAGGTTTTACTTGCTTCCCTCAGCTATTTATGTAAAATCTTATTTCTCCAATCAGAATTACCTGGGTCATTAAACCTGTATTCCTAGAAATGTTTATTTAGATGGATGCCCTTTAGTTAGATCTTTAGAGGAATTCGAAGCACAATTACTTCCTTATCATGGTTTAAGAGCTCTCAAAATTACACAGTATGAAAGAAAGAGGACAGAGTAGTAAACATTTTGCTGATGCAGCCCCCCTCTCCTCCCACGACCAAAAATGTCAATTTCAAATCTAGATATTACAGTACTGGTTACCTGGAATGCCAACTCAATTATTCAAAAATTTTTATAAAGGTCTCTGCTTTAGATTATTTAAAAATCATCACTAGATTTCTTTAAGACACAAAATAAGAGTATTCTCACTAGGGATCTCCAGGGATATGGATGAGCACACATTCAAACTTAGCAACACCAAAAATAAAACTCTGTGTGGGGCTTCCCTGATGGCGCAGTGGTTGAGAGTCCGCCTGCCGATGCAGGGCACACGCCTGCCGATGCAGGGGACATGCCTGCCGATGCAGGGGACACGGGTTTATGCCCCGGTCCGGGAAGATCCCACATGCCTCGGAGCGGCTGGGCCCGTGAGCCACGGCCGCTGAGCCTGCGCGTCTGGAGCCTGTGCTCCGCAACAGGAGAGGCCACAAGAGTGAGGGGCCCGCGTACCGCAAAAAAAAAAAAAAAAAAAAAAAAAGTCTGTGTGGACACATGTGTTTTTTTTCTCTTTTATCCTTCTTTCTCTGGTTTCTTGGAGTCTTTCTTTCTGGTGATCTGCCCCATCCAGGCCTGATGTCCCACTAGAAAATTGATTTTCTGGCGGAAGAATTCTCAACCATTTAACGAATCAAATTAAGTTCTGCAGGGAAAAAAATTTTGGGGGCATTTCCTTTATAAAATGTGTATGGAATTCCTAACCAGAAGCAATGTAGCTTATTTTCTAATTGGTAGGAACAATTGTCCTTCATCAACTCATGTGGCTTTACATGTTCTACCTGCACCCTGGCAGGTAAAATGCCAATGGGCAGTTTTAGATGAAAGCTGGAAAACAATGAAATTAACCAAAATGAAATCTGCACACACTTGATGGACTCAGGAGCATCAGGAAGATAAGTGTCAATAGGTATGATTCAAGATTCTGACTTTTAAAAAAGACAAGGAACCTATCATGTCGGTAATCTATTTCAGGCTCTAACAATTATTACCGCAAGCAATTTAGACTCAGGACAATACAAAATTGAACTCAAGGTAGTTGCTGGATAGTCCCTAATCCAAAAGGTTAAGGCATGCCTCTGTGACACACCCTTTCATCCAAGATCTTTCCCTTCACATCTCTTGACTTCTGTCTCCACCCTTTCCACCTGACATCACTTCACTGAAGTGTATGATGTGTGTGATTATCTTAAACTAGATAGTACAACTGAAGGATAGGAAGATTGTCACTTGAGGATTAAGCAGTGGGGGGGGGGGGTATATCTACCAAAGCCCCCTCTTCCCCTCCCACTTCTCTGCTGAAAAAGAAGGGCCACTGTATTTGTTTCCTAGAAGCTCCTTAGGAATTTAGCAAAGATCTTTGTTACCAGAGAGTATAAACAAACTAGAAAATGCTTGGTTGTTCACAGGACTCATACTATGTTACTTTTCTCTTATTTGTGGATTAATTGAGACTAGGAGACATCCCTTATACAGACCGTAGCAACTTAAATAAGTTTGTAAAGAGGAGACTTGAAAGATTCTAACCAGCGGAGGATGCTAATGTGACTGATACAGACTCCAGGGAGTGTGATGTCTGTCTTTCAATTCCCAGGGTCTCTGGTGAGAACTTGCCCAGGGCATCACTTAAAGCTGAATTTTACCAGTCAACTCAATTCTCAGTTAAAGGCATGTTTCAGATGAACTCTACAAAACCCACAGATGCTTCAAGGGTAAGGGCTAAGTTTCTAGAATTCCTAAATCATAGACATCCTCAGAAGGAGAGTCTATGAAAGGTCAGTATAAAAGGCAAGCAAGATTTGAAGGGCCTTAACAAGGAGATTTACAAGGAGCATGTGTAATACTTCCAAGACCAGAGGGATTTCAGGGACCTAGAAGAGAAATAGAAGGAGATAGAGGAGAAGTGGGTGGAAGGGGAGAGAGAGGAAGAGGAGAGAAAGCTGATAATGGCCTTACTATACTTGGGCAAGTTGTTTGAGTATCAGTATTGCCAGAGTCGAGGGCAGAAAAGCGTCCATAGACAAAGCCCCTTGGACACTTTCTGTCTTGCTACTTTGGTTAGAATTTAGTTGGAGAAACCTCAGCAAGAATGTGTACAATCACTTTGTCTAATATTTCAAGTATATGGGTCAAATGGTACTATTAAACAAGTATGGATTAAGAATGTGTTTTAGTGCAATTTACTAATTTAAAAAGTGTAAAGTTTTCCACCAGATTCCTCGCCAGATTCTTTGAAGACCTTAGCATAGAGTAATGTATTGTCATGTTACCCACTTGTCCATTAATATCGGATACTGGGGCTCTTTAATTATGTTTTCTTTGGGGAAAACATAAATTCCTAAGAGGGCAAAAAACACAGTAACAAAACTGAATAGTCAAAAATTGCCAAAATCCTAACATTTCCTTCGGGTTCTCACCAACAATGCAGAATTTGTGTGGGTACTGGAATATGCCAAGTTCTGATTTCAGAATTAAGATAGAAGGCTGTGCTTTGATGCATGTCTGTTTCAAAACGTCTGTCTTTGGTTTTTCTTTTTATTTCCTGGTGGAAGTTTTAAATTTTTTAGAAAGTCCAGTTTTGTCTTAGCTAAATAAAGTAGAGAGAGATTCAGGGAGTTTTGTGCCTACCACCTCCCAACACTTTGGATCACATGATTCAGAAAAAGGGGTAGCACTACTACTATTAAAATGTTGGGGCCAAAATATCCAACTGAATCCCTGTGAGAGAGAATAAAGTCGAGAAAGTGCAAAAGAGAGAACAGCTCCTGTGGAGGTGGATTCTTCCTGCCTCTATAATTCCATCATAGGTCTGCTGTCAGTCAAGGGCCTTAAAAATGAAACACAAGTATGTTATGTGCCTGTTTAGATCCTGAATGGAGTATAATATCAACCACCTCTATATACTCTTACTGAACTGATATATTTTTGGTGGCAGCCAGTGTCATACTCCATCGTCCCCTAGACCTTCAGATTAGATGGTACACACAAGAAAAATACATGATTAAATTTAGTTTTAAAATAGTGTTTGTTGTTTTTTGTCTAATTACAAAATTAATATATGTTCAACTCATGAAATTGGGACACTATAAAAAAGCATAAAAGGAGAAATTAAAAATTGCCATGATCTCACTATACAGAGATAAGTATTGCTAACATTTTGAGTATATCTAATTGTTTCTTCACCTCTGTATGTGTGTGTGTCTTAAATAATGGTTTGGCTCATATTACTAACCAAAGCAAGGTCCTCTTTGCCTGGGCTGCATATTCAAACCTCAATTTCCAATTAAAATGGTTTTCTTTGTTTAGAGTTACACTGCAGAGTTTACTGGATTCTGTTAAAGAACTAAACTCTCCCTTCCAAGATATGCAGATTCCTCTCAGTCAGCTCCCAGAAAAATCTCCTGCTTTATACTTTCAGTGGCCATTTCTAAATCTCTCCCTTAGTAGTCTAGAGTTTCCTTGAGCTTGTTGACTCAAAATTTCTCTAAGATAGTCTTTGTGTTCCTGTCACTCACATCCCAGCTCTCTTTTCTCTACTCATCGATGAGTACAAGCGTGCACACATTCACACCCCCTACACACACACCATATACATTCACATCCCACATGCACATCCGTAGAGTAAAACATTCCTCCAGACATGAAACTTCCCACTTGTGGACTCAGCTCTCAATATCAAAAAACTGGCATGGGAACTTAAAAGTCTAATTCCATTTGAGTATCTGAGTAATAGCAAGATGGGCTTATTTTCAATATACTTGCCTTTTTGTAGGTTTCAAGCTCATTCTCATGTTGGAATCTTCCCACTAAGTCTATGTTCTTTAGAAAATTAAACACTGCCATTGAGATAAAACAACCTGCTCCTAAGAATTATTTACTTGTAGACTATGTGTGACTTAAAAATGGTTTCCATTTTTAAACAGATAGAAAGTAAATTATCAGTAGGGTCTTTACATTTGTCTAATTGCAGTGTCGTATATGCCAAGTCTTATCATTTTTCTAGGGTACCCTCATTCCATCCTATTTTCATCATATTCCAAGTGCTTCCTCATTTCATTTTATTTTCATCATATTTCAAGCACTTTAAATAATGGATGTACTTTTTTGCCTCCTTTTCCATATTTTCTTCCCGTTGGCATTGCCTGCTTTATCTAGTTTCAGATAATTTAAAACTTAAAAAGAACCTTTATAGCTCATTATGGATTCTTGTCCCAATTATAGGAAATATACAGTCTGGATACAAAGTTGAGCTATTAAGACTGCTACTGACCTCGGATACTAAGTGCAATTGATTCCATGCTTGAGTAAATGTTATTTCCCTGGTTTGGGCT